CAGAATGTGAACCACGGCAGTCTGGCTTGATAGACTATTTTCTTGAACACTGCATAATAGATGCTCATAATTTAGTTCACTTCTAAAATGGTGTTCAGGCTCTGGCTAGGTAGCTCAGTTGATTAAAGCATTGTCTCCATATGCCAAGGTTGCAGGTTCAATCCTCAGTCAGGGCACATACAAGAATCAACAAATAAGCACATAAATAACTGGAATAACAAATCGATGTCTGTCTATTGGTCTTTCTCCCTCTTCCTCTCTTTCTAAAATCAATGAATAAATAAAAAATTTTAAAAATAAAATGACTTTAAGAATATCAAACCTGTCCTGATAAAATATACCAAAAGTAGTAAAAAAAATTCTATTTTTGAAATATTTTAAAAATCTCAACCCAACTTTTTCATAGGTAGCTACATGAGAGCACTATTTGGTTCTTGATTGGAATTATTACTTGAAATTTTAAAAAATTAAAAAAAATACACTTTTCTATAGGAAGAATAAATTGTTTTTTATAATTTACTTACATTTTACAAAAACTAGGTATAGTATTCTAATGATTAGAAATCATTGACTGCCTTGTGTCCTTTGTAAATACTGGTAAAGTCTTCTTTCACTAACACAATGATTTTGACTCAAGAGTGTAAGAACTGAAGTTCTTGCAAATCCTTTCAGATGGGAATGCTGAGGATCACAGATGTCGTACAAGTTACTTAAAACTGCTCATGCTCAGAAGTGTAAGAACAAGAGCCCAGATTTCAAAGCTTTATCCAATTCTCACAGCTTCTCTTTCCCAGTATAAGAAAGTTTGACCTCATTTTAAAAACAAAGAAACAAACAGAAAAACTAATTTGGAGTCACGGGACACTGTGAAATACTGTGCAACAGTTAAAAAAGAAAGAGGTAAATTTTTATATGAAATAATATTTGGATTAATGTGAAACAATCTGTACAGTATTTGTCAAAATGATAAAAGAAAAATGCAGGGCACTGATGATAGTTGGCTGTTATTTGTTTTTCAAAAGGGAGAGAATACAAATGTGTGTGTATATGGTCCTGCTCTCTCTTGGTATCTGCATGGGACTGGTTTCTGGACTCCCAATAGGTACCAAAATTTGTGGATGCTCAATTCCTTTACATAAAATGGGACAGTATTTGTGTATCACCTTCACACATCCTTCCCATATACTTTTAAATCATCTCCAAATTACTTATAACACCTAATACAATATAAGTGCTATGTAAATAATTGTTATACCATATTGTTTAGGGTACAATCACATAACGTAACATTATTTTCTGAATATTTTAACCCACAGTTGGTTAAATTCACAGATGCTAATTCAATCTATGTGTGTGTGTGTGTGTGTGTGTGTGTTTTACAGAATGTTTGCATATGTATAGATGATCTCTGGAAAGATCCTGGTGAAACTGGGGACAACTGTTTTCTCTGAGAGGAGATTTAGGGGAGAGAGGAGAGGCTAAATTTTCACTACAGTCACAGTGTGTTATCTGAAAAATTACTTTATGTAAGTGTTACATATCCAAAACATTTATCAAGACACTAATAAATAACAGATTTTTCTTATTTATAAAACAAGAAATCAACATTCTGAAACAGACTCCACTACAGAGTTCCTATTTTGTGAATCAGTTCCCCTAGTATGTTTAAATTCTTTGAAGAATGAAAGAAAATGTCGGGGGTCGGGGGTCGGGAGAGATTACCCATTTACATCAGGTAAAAAAAAAAAATCAGATAAACAAAGCTACAAAGTGTATTGTTAAACAATTCTTCCATGGGTGTGATTCAAGCCTCAGTTGCAAGGACTATGAAACTAAGGTGCTCTCATTATGTAATCTGTGTCTATGTGAACCTCCCCTTACTGCTTGTTGGCTTTTTCTTCTTAAAAAGTCATGCACACTTATTTTAGAAGCTCTGGAGAAATACAAATAAAAAATAAACAGGATGAAAAATGAATTAACCTAGAATCTTGCTGGCCAGAGAAAACCACTATTAACATTTTGTCATTTTTCCTTCCAATTTTTCTTCTATTTTTTTGGTTGGTTTATTTTGATTTTACACAGTTGAGATTAGCCTAACTGTGTTATTTTTGTATCCTTGACAATTTTCCCTCTTAATATTACATCAAAGTTATTTCTCTCGTAATGAAAACTTTCAGTAAGTATAACTTATAATGACTGGGGAGCATTCTCTATCTCCTGAGATGGCTTTCTCCTTTTAATCTATTACTGTGGCAAATTACACTTATTGAGATTTTTTATTGCTAAACTAACCTTGTTCTCCTTGGGAATGTTACATGCTTTTAATATAATGCTGAATTCAGTTTGTTAATATTTTGTGTAGAATATGTGCATTTATATAAGACTGTTCTGGAAGTTTTCTGTCATGTAAGGTCTTTACTAGGGATTGGCAAGAAGACTATGACAGCCCCTTCAAATGAACTGGAGAACGCAACCTCATTTTCTATTCTTTGGAACAGTTGATGTAAGTCTGGAGTTGTTGCCTCCTTAAGTGTTTGGCAGAACTAGCCAGTGAAGTTGTCTGGGATTGAATTTCTTTGTGGTAAAGTTTTTAATTACCACAAAAAAAAATGGAGTTAATGAACTCCATTTTTTCAAAATAGTTATGGGAATATTCAAAATTTCTATTTCTTCTTGTGTCAATTTTAAGGGCTTTTTTCCCCTAGGATTTTTTTTCCTTTTCAGCTAAATTTTCACAATTTTGGGTATGGAGTTTTTCCAAATAACCTTGTATTATCTATTTAATGACTGCGGGATCTGTAGTGCACCTCTTTTATTCCTGTTACTATTTGTGTTTTTCCATTATTTGTTTCTCTTCCATGTTTTTGATCCACTTCCTCAGAGATTTAGCGAATTTGTTACTCTTTTCAAAGAACCAGTGTTTGGTTTTGATGTCTCTAAATTTCCTATTTTCTTAATTTTTGCTCTTACCTTCATTGCTTCCTTCCTTTTATTCTCTATATTTTTCTTTTTTCTAATTTCTTGAGCTAAGTGTTTAATTTACTATTTTTTCACCTTTCTTCTTTTGCAATTTGTGAATTTAATGGATGTAAAATTTCCTTTAAATACTGCAGCCTTCAAATTCAAATGATCTCAGGGCAAAATTGGTCCTAGGTATTGATCTTACCTCTTTTAGTTCAGTCTTCTCCCAGATACCTGCCATTGATAATTTTCTGTGATTTGTATAGTTTAATCAGCGTTGTTACTTTCAGCGGGAAAATTTGTTTAAATTACTTAATCTGCCTTTTACCAAAAGGTGATGTAATATTCCCATATGGCAATATTACATAAATATTATATATTCTCATATTATAAACATCTAACATCTATCATGATACATAAATCTTTATTGCATTTTAAATCCTTTCTCCTTAAGATAGATTCCCAAAAGCAAAATTGTTGGGTAAACATTTTTAGGTCTCTTGATACTTCCAGATACATTAAACTAATTTACACTGTAGTTACCAATATATGCATATATCCATTTCCCTGTATTCTTCCCAACAATGAGGACTCTTTTTGAAATACCTGGCTTGTTAGCTAGATTGCTTTAAGATGTTTGCAACTCAGACTGTTGCTAGGGATGGACATTTTTATAAATGTTTACTATTTTCTTGAATTTTTTGGACCATTTGAGAATCCAAATGATTTTTTAAATATATTTATATAATATACAGACTGTGGGGACACCAGCCTTCTACCTTTGAGAATTTGCTGCTAAATGCAAAGAGCACGTTTGACCTTCCTGGTGAGTTTTGCACATGCCTCTCTAGAAGAGGCTGCCATGGGCCCTGGTCAAAAAGCAACAGATTAGTCTTGCCTAGAGGGTCCGTGGCATGACGAAAAACCTGCCATTCATTCATGCATTCAATCTACAAGGTGGGTCAAAAGTAGGTTTACAGTTGTTCATATGGAAAATAATATAATAATAAATAAATAATAATATAAGAATAAATTGTGTTTTGTGTACTCACAACTACAAACCTTTTGCCCCACCCTGCATATTTACTTAGCTCCTATAGTACATGGCCTATTGTAGGTGAGGGGTAAATACTGGTTGAATTAATGAAGGGCAGTCTGGTATGAATTAGGGATACCCTCACAGACCTGAAAATCTCATGGGGGAAACAGATATCAAACGATCATTGAGAAAAAATATATAATTATGGACAGAAATATATGCAATGAATAAAACGTAGTATCCTCTATGATGAAATATAATAGGGGACCCAAATGAGGGATGGGTCAGGAGTAGGCAGGGCAGGGGGGACAGGGAGATCACAGATGGCCTCTTTGAAAGCGTGACATTTAAGCTGAGAGAAGGATGACAGCCAGCGCAGTGGGGGAGAGAGCTGCACACAGAAGAAAGGGCCTGTGTAAAAGCCCCGAAGCAGGGTGGCCAGGGAGGGCTGGCTACCACAATCTCAGTTTTCCCACGTCACTTGCTCCTTAGGTCCACAGGAATACAGAGGAGAGGAGTGGCAAAGATTCGCAATTTGGAAACTCTAAAGGGATAATGAAATTACCTGAAGTTTTAAAGAGGCTTACAACACAGCACTACGTCTCCTGCTAAGGGTACACAAATGAGAATTCTCTACAACTTGATGTCTGAACAGCAATACTGACAGAGCCAGTTGCTTTATATACAAAATAGCCTTTGCCTCAGAAAAGGCCTCATATTTATAAGCTGTTGCCAGGACTGATCCTAACTCAGGAAGATAGATTTTAATAAAAAAAAAAAATTCATCACAGAGAGCTAAACAGGATGCAGACTCTCTACCAAAAAGCATGAAATCAATCATTTCACTTTGGGATGCACTTTTGGCAGGAAGGTTGAGGTCTTCCTTGGAAAACAGTCACTTGAAATCTGCCTAGGGAAGCCAGACCAATGTCCCCAAACACATGACTTCTAACATGTTAGCAACAGACAAAACAAGCATGGAGAGAGGAGGCCAACGTACTGTTTTCGCGGACCAGGCAGAACTCCCATACGCTCTGGCTCTCCAAAGTACTCTCCAGGTCCACGGCGACATTGGGCTCGCTCTGCTTCTCCAGGCGGTACTGGGGGCCTGGAAGATCAAAGGGGCAAGAGGAGGGGAGGAAGTCTGAAACAGTGACTTTAACATTGAAAAAACACCACATGCTGGCAAGAAGCTGCTAAGGCATTAGGAAAATGCTGAAGCCTGTCTTGTGGGTCTATTCATCCAAAATGGAAGAGGCTGGGTATTTTTCACAGGTTTCACACACCTGTTTGTTCTACATTATCAGACCTGTTTTTGTTCAGTTCTCCCCCAAACAGGGTGAGACGTAGATGGTTTTTGAGTCAGCCTGACCTAGAATCACAACGTGGTTACGGAGTTTCAGATATGACCAAGGAACCTACCCTTTTCTGAGCCTGTTACCTGAGAAGGAATACTTATAACCCTGAAGGACTATTGTGAACAGCAGAGATAGTATATTCTAAGTCTAAGGAAATAAGTACTCTAAGTAAAGAAAAATACCTAGTAAATACTCATTCCTACAAAAGTATTTAATAATCATTATAGAATAATGGATAATCAATTATAAGCAGGAATAAGGTATGTTTATAAATCTAATATAATGACAGTCCAAAAGTTCAAAAACATTTTTAAAAATCATGTGAGGTTAAAAAAAATAAATCTTAGGTTTCTGGGTTACAGCAATGGAGGACTATGGGTGCTCATTCATGATTTTGTTGAAACATTTCTGAAAACACAAAGACAAAGTTCAATAATCCTGGAAACCAGGAACACTAGCTGTCATATAGGAGGTTCTGGCAGATCTTAATAAAACACTGGGACATTTTATACATTTATTCATGTATTTCTTTGTCAAGCCAAATGACAACCTTACTCTTCTCAGAAAACACCTAGCAGGGCCAATGATCAGATTCAAAAGACCGCTCCTGATGTTAATGGTTATTGAAGAGATTAGAGGCTAAGCAACTGTCTTGCTGTTTTGACCATGAAAGGCATGTTTGGTCAGACGGAAGGAGAGGTGCGGGAGATCTGAGGGAAGCATCAGGGGCCTCACAGGCAGACGTGTATTTTTAGATACGTTCTTCAGCTGTTGTCAACTTAACCAGTGCTTCTCCTTCATCAGTGGAGGCATTTCACTCATCTCATGTCATTCTCTTCTCCCACATTTTATGTTCATCTGCAGCATTGTAGTTTCACAGTATATTTGATCTTTTCTCTAATTTAATAGGTATTTCATTAGCAATTCTGCCAGTTCTCAGAGTTCGTACATACATTCAGTTTTTTTAAGTGATACTTATAGCTTTTAAACCTTTAATAAGTAAACAATGCTCAAAACACATATAACTATATTTAAGCAAGTACATGCTCAGAAGGCTACACAATTCTTAAAAACTCTCATATGAAGGGGGACCCCCTCAAAAACCAGAACTATCTTCTGAATGGTGGGCCTCTTGTAGTACAGGCTTCCCCTGCTTAGGTTAGTGTTCTAGGAACCCATCTGTACCAGTGTACCAGCTGGTGGTGTTGTGAGAAGCTGTGTTCGGCTTCAGTGAATCTTTTTTGAAGACTCTTTCAACGCATCTGCCCATTTCATGATGGGTAATTTACGAGTACACCTGCCCACACGGCACTGAGTGTTCAGCAGTTTTTGATCAAGAACAGCATGACTCTTGTGCCCGACCCGATCTCGCCCTGATGAAACAAGTCCTCAAAGGGAAACATTTTGCTGATATGGAAGAGATGAAACAAAAAAACAGCAGAAACACTAAAAGGAATCAAAATCGATGAGTTTAAAAACTGTTTTGAGCAGTGGAAAAAACATCCTGATAGGTGTATTGCATCAAATGGAGTATTCTGAAGGTGATTGAAGTTTAAACATGTTAGAACAAATACACAATTTTTTATAAATAAATTCCGTTTTTTTTGGGGGGGGTCCCCCCTTCTGTGCTGTATTCAGGTCAAGAAGGTATTGTATTTCAAAATTATCCATAGTTAAATTTAATTTCAAAAATATTGAGCAAATAAAGGTATGGAAATACAGGTAATTCTTGGTCTCTGCTACCTGTCACCTGTCAGTGACAACATTTGTCAATTACCAGGCCTGTTTGCTGATCACTGCATACCTTTACATTTCACTAGTGGTAATAATCACAGGAAAATCATGCCCAGGTGAACTTTAAGAAAACTTACCTGGTGAGAGGTTCTTATGTACCCTCTTCCTTCCCCCTCCCTAACACCCACCTTTCTCAGCTGTGGGCACCCTCAGCCCACTGGAGGGAAGGGAGCCACCCCTGAACCGGAAGAGATGCTTTCTAAGATACTGGCTTGTTAAATGACCTCTGACTGCCCCATCCCCAATAACTCCCAGCAACACCATGTGTAAGGCACTGATATCCACGTCTATGAATTTATGGTGATGTCTGGGTACAAAGCTGAGCTACAACAAATGATTTTTTCATGATAGCCAAAAACTGGGAGTAACCTAGATCTAATAAAACACTGTGAAATACTTGGTTACACAAAATATTGTGAAATACCTTGAAGATATTAAAAGTAATGTTGAAAAAATATTTAATTTTATAAAACATATTTATAATATGGTACTTTATTAAAACAGCTAATTATAACACACTATGTGCAGGATGACTGCAATTATGCAAAATGTATGTAAGTCACGGGGGGGTACTGAAAGGGTATTTTAAAAATGTGAGTCGTGGTCATACGGAATAGTGGGAAAATGAGTGCTTTTATTTTTCTTTAGTGTTATTTTGTACTTTTCACATTTCCTATAATAAATAAAGGCTACTTTTATAATTTAAAAAACATCATATACACTTACAAGCTCTTTTTTCTCAGGATACTATAATTATCACACATCATTGCCTCTTCCAGTGGGTCTTTCATATGCAGAATTTAATCAAAACTAGACATTATCTGTTTATGTAGGTCGATATTTTCATCATAAGTAACCCTGCAACCTGGCATGTTTATTGTGATTTTGAGTGCAGGGTACAGGGTGCTGGGTTTCCCGAGCTGCCTCCTGACCCTGGGATTGTAAGCAAGCCACCCCTTTCTTGAGTGCTGGGAGCCAACGTGTGCACTCTTGGTTGGCCTCCTTTGCACACTTCCTCCTTCCAGTCACTGCAGCTGCCTGGGAAACACACATGGGGGAAACCAGGGGAGGCAGGGAGTACTAAGAAGGGTCTCTCTCGTATCCCTAAACACAAGTCCCTGCACCACTCTTGAAGCTATAAATGCCATCATTTAACATTTCCTTTCTTGTTTCTTGGGTATTGCAGATATTTCTATTAAAATAGTTTTTTTCCCCAGAAAGTAGTTTTAGGGCTTTCTCCTTGAGGACTAGTATGATAATGACTCCCATTTACTGAACGACCATGATATGGGAGGTATGCTACATATCCCTTACTGCAGCCTTGCAGCACCTCTAAGAGGCAGGTATTATTATCCTCATTTGCCAGATTGGGACCCTGAAGGCTGGCAGGGTGAAGTATCTTGCCCAAGATCACAAGGGTAGGAAGCAGAAATGGGAAAATGAAACCCAAAGATCTTGGGCTCTAACGCCTGTGTGTTTTGAACCTTTCTTCCCCTTGCAAACTATAAATTACTGGCCAATTATAAAGAGGCCATAGTTTATAGCGTAAGCATAGATTTTTATAGATCTGCGGATTCATTTGGGTTCTGAATCACTTAACTTCTGGTTTCTGTAAGTTCAAAACGAAAATGACCTGAAATAATTTATTTTAATGAAATCCACATATACTAAATATTCCACGCTGTGGCTGTATCCCAGGTCCTTATGAAGTCAGAATCACCTTATCTTTCCATCCTTCGAAAGACTCTATCCTCATCTTTCCTTAAGAATATTCCTATGTATGCCCAGTGTTGTCAGTAACTGAAAATTTCAGTGCCATCTGCCGTAGGCACTCCCTGCTCTTCAATAAAAGTTAAGAACAACTTGTATATCTACTTCTGAACTTAGCAAAAACTAATGGATCTTGACTTGGGGGAAGGTAGGGTGTGTTTAAACTGTACATGAGACTCGAGATCTAAACCCAAAAAGAAAACTCCCTGTTCCAAATATCAATTTCTATCTTAATTCTTGCCCGAGCACTGGATAACTTATCTCACAGAGAAAGACCATTTCACACATTTTCCCCTGAAAAAGTCAGATTGATAACTTCAGGTCCTACTGTGTAATGAGAGGCAGGGTACAGATGAGAAGCACCACAGCGTGATGGCGAAGGGCACGAACTTGGAGCCAGGTTGCCTCGGTCTAGTGCTAGCTGAGTCCTACCTCACAGGCCTGCTTGAGGATTCAGTGAGCTAACAGTTGTAAAGAAGTTAGAACAGTGTCTGATACATTAACAGTGTCCGTTAAGTGTCAGATATCACTCATCGTCATCAGACAGTAACAGTGCTAAGAGATCATATAGCATAACAGGGTCTACTATGTGCCAAATACTGTGCTAGGCCTTTTATAGAGATCATCTCATTTACTGTCACCCTAGGACTGAAGAGTATGAATCCCACTTTACAGAGGAAGAAACTGTGACTTACAGTCTAAATAACTTGCTCATTGTCTCATAGAAAGTGGCAGAACTAGGATTCATACCCAGGGCTGCCCAGGCCTGCACTCTTTATATTACATATGAACCACAGTGCCTTGTTCATAACAAGTACTTAATAAATGTCTGTTAATGATAATCAAGATAGTGACAACCCAGACCTACTCTCTATCAAATGCTTGTCTAATTTTCAGGCAGCTGACATGGGAGGAAAGGAAAAAAATAAAAAGGGCAGCCAAAACCATCTTAAAAAGACAAGCTGTGAGGTCAGTTTCTAGTCATATATTTCTGCCAAAAAAATGATTATATAAAATATAAAAGGCTCTTTCACACTGAACAGGACATAGTTCTCAAGGCAACATCCACCCTTTGGAAAGAGGCTTTAAAATGTCACAGCTGTGCATGTGGCCCCAAGCCCTCCACTTCACAGCAGAGGGAAACACAAAAGGAGGATTCTGGAAGCAGTACTCTGCTGTGACAAGG